ACGATGCGGTCGCATGGTTCAAAATTTCAGCCTCTTTGTTCCTTTAATTATTCCACACTAGATATTTAATTATTGAACAACATTACAACTAGGGCGGTAAGCAAAAACCGCCAAATCAGAAAATTGAACCGAAACCGCAATTTCGAAACCGACAGTTTGGTGCCACATGGACCCGTCAACGAAATTGTTTTGAACCAAACCAAATCGATCAAAAACGGTATGGTTTAGGTTTGAGAATTTTAATTATGGTTTGAGACCAAACCGGACCGGTGAAAAATATATAAAATAAAAAAATAAAAAATTATTTTTTTTTTTTGAAAATTTATCCAAAATTTCAATTTTTGTGTGGTTTTAACTTAATAAAGGCGCGAATTCTCCTTTCTATAGGTTGCACATTTACCAGACAAAGCAAATAACTATTTAACTCCGGCTCTCTCTGTTCTTGAGAAGAACACTTGATAAAATTCTACACTTAACAGTATAATTTTTTCTTCTGTTTCTTTGTTCTTCAAAGGAAGGTATATTTTGTCAAATAGGTGAAGCAATTTGTCAAGAACTTGAGAGAATTCTTTCATTGTGCAAATTGCTTGAGCAACAAGTACATTCTCTGCAGAGTTATATATATAAATCAGCTTTGTATATTTTTGGATATGAAAATTGTTGGAAATACCACCGGGGTTGGAGAATAAATACACCAAAATCTGCAACGAACTATGAACAAAATACCGTAACAAGATTAGAAGGCCTAAACGCGTGATCGCTATCCTCAAACTAAATTTGCCCCCTCTCCGGATTGATTGAGATGCTTAAGGATTCCGGCAAATGGTTTGTAGGAGTTATCAAGCCTTGTTGTAGAATTATAATTAAGCACAAATATAATTCTACCCAACAAGAGAACACAAGAGGGATATTTGAATATAAAGAAGAAGAATAACTTCAATTGCTTTGGAATAATAATGATCTTATGTTTTTCATCAACATTACATTCTTTTAATGAACAAGACCACATATTTATAGGCTATCAATATTCATCACGAAATGATGTCAAAATCATGCTGAAAAGCCACCAAAATGAAACACAAACGATCAAAAAATTGGAGGAAAAACCGCCTCAACGGTCGCATAGAGTGGTTCAAAGTCCCTGTAAGAGACCATGTGACCGCATGTTGAAATGAACCATGCGGTCGCATGGTTCAAAATTTCAGCCTCTTTGTTCCTTTAATTATTCCACACTAGATATTTAATTATTGAACAACATTACAACAAAAATTACTTCACTGCACTGGTTTTATTCTTTTAACATTTTAATATGAATAAGTTTACAGTGAAATAGATATATGAGTTTTGAATAAATAAAGCAACTCCCTAAATAAATAACTAAAGCAGTGTGAATGAAAAATAATAAATTTTGTACATCTAGATTTTGGTAGGGATTAAAATTAGATTTTTAGTAGATTTTGATAGAAGTTTTTGAAATGTGTGTTTGAAAAGTTGTGGAACTTATGAAAAATATGATTAATATTGATTGTTTGACTTTAACTTGGATTAAAATCAGCTTTTAATCTGAACCAAACAGGGGCATTT